AAAATTACGCTCATGAATATCAAGAATCTTTCAAGTCTCATCTACTCATTCTAATTAATTGCTAAATAAATTTAGGAAATAATTTAGAAATCCTCCCCAGTGGAGTCGCCAAAAAACTATAGGGAAATTTTTTACCTCTTCGCCTTACATGTGGGTCATGTTTTTAAGCATAGCGGCGCTCCATGGAAAAGAAGCTATAGAAAAAGAGTCTCTAACAAGTTTTAGAACCTTGTAAACTGTTCACGGGTGTGAAGGTTACACCCCATTCACAATCACGGAGATTGCTAACTCCATATTGGTCTGGAACCATGACTGGATGTTCGGGGATGATGGTATGAATTTGACCTAAGATAAGTTAAACCTGCCCTAAATAGGTCTCTACTTGGTTCTTTTGATATTCATGTGCGCTTTTCGATCAACATACATACATCAATTTTATCCTAAACCTATTTAATCTATGTCGGTTGATTATTAATGCACAATCAAATCTAATATTGGTGATCACTTGAATTAAAGTCATATTAGCCTAAAATCAAATTATTAATCATCTTATTAGGCGTGATTTCAAGTACAAATTCCTTTTTAACCTGCAAAAAGGGGCGTGATCAAGAAATAACAATAAATCATGAATAATCAAGCAACATATGGTTAATATAGCAATCATCATAAGAATCTTCTTTTCGAAAGCTGATCAATCCAAAAGTCGTCAATTGAGAAGCCTCATATTAAAAAATTTCATTTTTCCTCAAAGAAATTCCTATGGTGTCAGTATTTCTAGTGGCTTCCTCAACCTTGATAGATTGACCTCCACCTTGAAAGCAAGATTGCTCAATTTCATTCAGACAATCTTATATGGATCGACCCCTAATAAATAACCTTTTCACAACCTTGTTTAAAATTTTAGACCATGTTTAGGTAGACATTTAATAGAACTACGTAGGGTTTTGATCTGGGAGTGGATTCAAATCCCACAAAGAACGGTACGTCGGGCAACTTTAATGCTCAAATCCACCATATATACATCGTAAGCTTTATTTTTATAATTTGAATAATTTTGCATTTGAATGTGATTGACATTGTGGAAACTTAGGTGTTTTTGTGCATTAGTTTAAGAAGAAGTATGTGAATAACCATAACCAATCAACAACGTATTATTAAGAGCCTGTTCTTTAGAAAAGCGGAAGAGATGAGTTTCAGATGTTCGATCTTCCAAACTTATACTTCATACCTAGGTCTTTAATTTCACAAGATCATCCTAATATAGTGCCTCATCTAGTGGAGTTAATGTCATTTTCTATTTAAAACGACCTTATAAAAGACCATCTCTATTTGGCCATAAATAGAGTGGCGACTCTAATTTTCTTCTAGTCAAATTATCGACTAACGTGGTATTTTGACCTTTAATCTAAATCAGTAAAAAAAAAAAAAATGGGTACCACTAGCAGAAGTGGGGGAGGTGCGAGAAGCAGGAGGTTAGCTTCATCTAAGGTAATATTCATCCATCTTAAGTGCATTCCTTTATTTTATTGTTATTTGTTATTAATAACTCACACTTTTAAACTATTTTATCTTTCATTTGTAGGTTCCAAAGGAGTGGGAGTATTGTTACTGATTGATATGCAATGACTAACATACCAGGACAAAGGGGTGGTCTAAAGGGTACTCACTAATAATATGAGCTCACAACTCAGTCAAGCTTCAACAATGCACCAGCCAACTCAGTGACCATATTGCAACTGTGATGTCTTTTTTTGGAATCAACTTAGTGACCAACCAATCAATTTGTGATTAATAATTTAGTGCAGCGTATCAATGACAATGCTGATTATGTAGATGGTGATGAAAATTAGTTTTTTTTTAATAAAACATGTGCATTGTATGAAAGACAATGATATGTTTATCTTATCATATTTCAAGTCAATTTTATTTTGCATAAAAGTGATTTCAACTGAATTTCATTTGCATAGAAATTAAAAGGTTAAAGGATTCAACACTATTAACAAAAACAACTCAATTATACTTTACTAATAACGTACTCCAATTCATTCTTAAATTATCACCAATCCAAATCCAATTACACACCCTTGTCCCATTCCTATTTAATTGCTCCAGATGAAATCCAAGACAACATCATATCAAGTGAGAAATTGTTCTTACTTCTTGAACTTACTTCTTGAACTCCTTAGCATTTCAATGCGCATATGGGACAATTCATTCTTCAGTTCTTGAACATCAACTTCAAAAAATTTCTTCTTTAGTTGCAACTTTTAATCTTTTCCTCTATCATTCTCTTCTCAACCTCTAATCTAACAATGGTTGTATCTTTCTCCAACAATTTATAGTTCAAGTCTTCAACCTAAAATGTTAAGCTACGTATTGCCTTCATCTACCCACCTAAAAAAGTCACAGTTTGTGTGCTAAACAAAGGAACAGAGCAAAATTAAATCCTAATTTATTCAGTTTTTAAAAATCATTCAAATTGAACAAATTAACCGAATTACATATACGTTCATGTACTTACATGACATAAACAACATCCATGGAACTTCTTCCCACAATTTGTGACTTGCTTTACTACATGAATTATGGACTGGATGTTGTGGTGGCACTTTACAAACCGTATTCGCTGGTGAATTCGAAGAAGAAGACCTAGACTCATCAAAATTTGATTTCCTCTTAGCAAATCAACAAAATATTTAGAAAAGAATAGATCTAATAGAAGAAAAAGGAGCACACTTATGGTGGAATACACTTCGTTATCCCCATTTATAGAAACCCACACAATATGCAACGATAAGTGGCACACAGGCCAATTAACCTACTGTTGCAAGTCGTAGATAAAGGGGGTCCATTTTTGAGAAAATCATAGAAAAGGTGGAATTATTATTTCCATATTTTTGAAAGGTGGGACTATTTTGAGAAAACTTGCAAAAGGTGGGATTACTCTTCTGAATTTTTCCTTGATAGACATTCTCTATAGTTTAGATTCATCTAAATTACAAATCATATCAAACTATTAATTAGACTTGAATTAGTTTAATAATCTCAACTTTGAGCCAATTTCATAATCGCAACTTTGAATAATTATTTAATAATTCGAACTTTATGGGATATTTCCTTTTATTAGTTCCAAGTGACCGGTAACCTGTTAAAGGGGTAACTTATTATTTTATTTTTTTGTTTAATACACACATGTCACCACGTGATTAGTCAAAAAATTAAATAAAAAAATATATATAAAAAAAAAACTAAAAAAAAAAACAGCCCATCCACACCACCATCCCACAACCGCCAACCCGGCATCCCCATCTCTCCAACCCTCCACCGGCAGCACCCCTCCACACCCCACCATCAGAATCCCTTGTCGGCACCCCAGCTGCCCCCGTTGCGTCACCCATGGCATCCCATTCCCTCCCCACCTCGACTTCCATCCCACACGAAATCCCTAAAAACCCCTCCACCAGCCCATCAAACCTCCAACCCGACCCCCCACACCCCCCGAAACCCTAACGTTTAGGGGTTTTTGAGGGTGGTGGGAGGGGTGAATTGGGGTTTCGGAGGTGGGGGAAGGGCTTTCTAAGGGTTTTGTGGGGAGGGCAAGGAGTTTCGAGGATGGTGGTTTCAGGTGAAAGGGAGAGGTGACGGAGGGGCGGGAGCTAGGCACCAGCGAGGGGTGGTGTTAAAGGGGTTGTCAGAGGGTGGGAGGGGTGGAATTGTCAGTGGGTCGTGGATGGGCTGGTTTTTTTTTAAAAAAAAAAAAATTGACCAATCACATGGTGGTGGGACCAATAAAAACAAATACCTTATAAAGTTCAAATTATTAAATGATAACCGAAATTTTTGATTTTAAAAGCAAATGGCTTAAAGTTGGGATTATTAAAGGAAAATTTGTCAAAACCCACCTTTTAAATCACTTTTGTTGTGAAAAACCACCTAATAAATTTTTTTTGTAAAAACACACCTAAAACCAGAATTTGTTTACAAGTTAACACCTTAGGCCGGTTTTAGGGGGATTCACTGGTTTTTTGGCTTCGATCCTTACGTGAAAGTCACGTGCTTGCTCATAAAAATCCTAACCATTCTTTTTTCCCTCCAATTACTTTCTTCCTCCTCAAAACCACCAAGACTACCGCCTAGCCAACCCTAACCACCATCACCGCCCACCAACCAACTTATCCTTCATCACCACCCACCCGAAAAAACCTCTCCCTTTCTTTTTTTTCCCTTTTCCCCCTTCTAAGTAGACTTTCTCTCTCCTTCATTCTTCCTAGCAACCCTTGAATTCTGTCAATTGAAGGGGCAAACTCCATTGTTTTGCTCAAATTGCTATAAAATTAACCTAATTTTAAGGAAGGTAAGTTGTTAAAGTTAATGAAATTGGTTATTAATTTCGTTTGTTTTTTATATACCTTAGTTTAGGGTTTTTAATAGGAGGAAAGAAAGGGGAAAAAATGCTATCAACCCTCCTCTCTCTCTCTCTCTATTGGTTTGTTTTAGGGTGTTAAGGGTGTTTATGGAGATGCTTAGGTTTTTTTGGGTTGTTTTCATGGTGGGTCTAGTGGTTTTGGAGGGTGATTGATGGTGTACGTGGTGGGGTTTAGAATAATTTGGATAGCCAGTGATGACAACTAAGTTGATTGGCAGTGGTTTCGGCGGTTGGGTTGGCTAAGCGGTAGTGTTGATGTCGGCGGCAGGTTTGGCTAACTGTGGTCAGGTGGTTTTGAGGAAAGAGAAAGTAATTGGAGTAAAAGGGGGGGGGGGAAGAAAGGAAGGGTATGAGCATGTGACCTTCACGTAAGGGTCAGCGCCGAGAAACCGGCCTAAGGTGTTATTTCGCAAAAAAAAATCTGGTTTTAGGTGTATTTTCTCACAAAAAAAAAAAAAAATGCTGTAAAAATGTAGTGTTTGACAAATTTTCCATTATTAAAACCAATTTTTCCTTAGATTTTTTTTTTTGACGGGAATTTTTCCTTAGATTTAAACGGTAAGATTTTCAAAACTTTGTTTATATCAAGTAGTGTTTGGTTGTAAAAAAACAAAAGTAGTGTTTGAATCAAATTGCTAAAAGCTACTACCCAATAACATAGATATTACGCTCAAGATAGAATTAAATTTGATTGCCCATGAACATTTTTTTTAAGTTCATGAGAACCAAAATTTAATTAATGTAAAAAAAAACCCAAGAACTTCCTAATCTTCTAGTCAGAAGAAAATCTTCAATCATCACGTTCAAACCTAAAATCATGTACCGGAGAAAAATGAAAGATTTTACACCCTAATTCTCACGTTCAAACCTATAACTACTCTGTACATCTTGCTATTGGCCAACTTGGCATCATCCTTCACTAAGTAGCCTAGCTTTCATCAAATGCACAAAATATGCATCATGAAGCAGGTGTTACATAATGCCCAAATTTCCGCCTGTGGCGACTAAAGTCGGACACAAACCTGAAAGTAAGGCCACACTCTTCAATCTTGCACTGATATGGACGTTCACCAGTGTGTAGTCTCATGTGCTCAGTCCTAGCCCATGCCCATTTGAAAGTCATAGTGCAGCCTGTCCATGAGCACTTTAGAGGCCTCTCATCGTCATGAACTCGTTGATGAAGAACCACAGACTTATGGGACCTGAACTTCTTCCCGCATCCTCTGTGATGGCATTTGTTGTTCTTGTGTGATGACAGATCAACCTTTGTCCTAAATAACATTCGACAACCCTCACGACTACATCTGTAAGAAGTTTTATCATCTAGCACTTGATTGCAGGAAGCTCTGCCCGAAGATTTCTTTAGCTTTTTAGTCAGGGGCTTTTCTTTTGTAAGTTCAGCAACATTGCTATCAAGTGTATGAACTAAACCGTTTCGATTCTTCCTTGGCCTTAAACCTTCACACGGACTTTTTATAAAGTTTTTATGGGCTTCAGTTTGCAGCTCTACTTTTCTTCTTCTTTTGCTTCCATCCCTAGAAGTCATTTTTGCAGTAGCCAACTTAATTTCCTGTTTTTCCTGCATGCTCAACAATGAAGAAGCACACTCACCAGTTTGAGAACTACCAGTGAGGTTATCCTTAGGTAAGATATGCATATCTACCTCCACAGTAGTAGTATCATGTTTACAAGGCTCACTCTCACCCGCATTATTCGCTGCATTAGCATAAACCTCAAGCGTATTGCAGGAGTTGTCTGGGACTGAATTTACAGTAATCTGATCATCATTCAGCTCTTCAGGTATGCACAACATTGCAAGATCAATTATTTTAGCCATGCAGCCATATTCACCTCCTGCCCCCTTTCTAGCACTGCTCGATATCCCTGCATCTGGCATAGCAGAACCAATTAAACTAGGACAACTCTCAGCATCCATGTGCTCATTTAAATTATCAGTCTCCCCAGAAATTCTGAGCACATTGGATTCACATGATGCAGATGTAAAAGCTTCATTAATTACAGGATCCCTGTTCAGAGCAGGGGCCTCAACTTCCTCACATACCACAAATCGTTTTTCCAAACTCTTGGAACAGGAAGTCCCTGGAATGTCCTCATTGTGATCATTAACCTTTCCACGATCAGCATCAGAAGCATTGTTTGCTCCAGTAAAAGTTCTTGATGTAGTCCTATACTTCCTCCTAGAGTATTGGAGAAGTACCTTTCGTTTACTTTCCATAGAGCTGGTAACATGAATAATCTCATCCTTCTTTGAGAGATTGCCATTACAATTTGTTGCAAGAGTTCTGCAGTTTGACTTCTGTTTTGTCCGAGATTTTCTAGAACACCATTTGATATATGAAATTCTTGAATCAGGAGCCATAATGGAAAGTAAATAGTCAATATTCAGTGCATGCTCTATCTTCTTTGGGAGACTATCTTTTCTGGTCTTGACACTAAACCTTAGGTTGATTCCAAGTTTTGACGTCCAGTCTTCTTGGGAGTCATTAAGTTTCTCATCAATTGCAATATCAATCAGATTCAGTTCTTCCTGAGAAACAGAATCAAATCGAACCTCTTTATAATTAAATGAGGTTCTGAGTTCTTCAGCAACAGCTGCAGCATTTGCCTTATACTTTTGATAGTCTGCAGTACAAAGGCAATAAAAGATCAGGAGGTAAAAGTCAAAATCAAGGAAGTCGTTGAAAATTCTCTAGAAATATGACACAAATTTTAGATTTAAAAACACAAAATGTTCCCATGTTCATAGATCAGCGTAGCAAGAAACAAAGATGAAAGTGTGAATCTCACGAACACAATCCGTACTTATTTGCAAAAATGCTAGTGAGCTACTTTTACATCACTTGGAATGATCTTGAGAGGTCCTTATGTACAGAACTAAACCCCTACCAAGACTAGTGAGGCTGAAAAATAACAAGCATGTGAAAACTCCACAATTTGCTGACTATGTTCAGATGAAAGGTTTAGAGCAACATTATGCACCAGTGATGATACAGAAACACAAAAGAACGGCTTACCAGAGTGGCAGATTACAAGCATCTTTGCACCACCTTTGGGTCTTAAAAGCTCTTCAATTTTTACAGCATGCTCCAAGCAGAAAATCCGCGGTCTCAAAAACCCAGAAGTATCCCATGTCTCATCATCATTGGTCTCTGTACCAAATAAAGAAATCATTAAATCTAGCTTTAGACCTGTATGATACACGATAAAAATATGAAGATTTAACATACTTATGAGACATCATTTCTTTTATTCAAAACATCCTTACTTTTGCATGTCGTACATGATAATTCGATCTAATTTTAAAGTATAATTCAAACTCTTTCCAATAGTATGAATAGTAGAAGATTTTGAATTATTAAAAAAAATGTAAACTTAGCTTACAGATTATAAAGGTCATTTTTTCCACTTATTGATAAGTTTCCTAAACTCTTTCCAACGGTATGAATATTAAAAGATTTTGAATTATTCAGATGAAGATACATACATACATACATACATACATACATACATACATAAATATATATATATATAAAGGTACCCTTGACTAACATATTATTATAGTCCTTTTTACAATTATTTAAAACTTTTCTAAACTCTATTGATCTATTATTGTCAAATGATCCCTGATGTTCAATTGTTCATTTTATTTCCTAAAATCAACTATCCCTTCCAGAGAGATTTACACCTTTATTCGTCCAAGTTCTTTACATTTTTTTACTTTATCAAATTTTGGCAAACCTCATTTACTACTTATTTCATTCACCCCACTCCCTTAATTTTCCCACCTTTTCAATACAAAAAAACTTTTTTGGTTTTTACACTCTTTCCAACACTTTATACACCTTTTTTCTTACACCACTCCAACATAAACACACTCTCTAATTGCCTTAACTTGTATTATAAATTGTGTGAACAGAAATCGTAATAAAATATTGGAAACATATTTTTGTCCAATATCTTACAGTAATAATTTTATTATTTGTACTCTATATATCTATATCCTTAACTCTATAGTGACATGGCAATTCCATGCGGCCCTTCCAATGCTACCAAATAAAGTAATGCCTAATAAAAAAAAGGAAGAAACTAAAAGGCAATCAGCTGACTAGCTCACCATTATGCAACTAACAGTTCAAACAAATTTTTATAAGTCATTTGGTTTGGATATTTTAGCAAAAACATATCATAATAACTGCCAATAAAACTGAATTTCTGCACTGAATCACACGGATTCTATTGGACTATCAATCAAGTACGCATACAGAGAGAAAGAGGTCATCCAGTGAAGTGGAGGTAGTTCCTCACCATTATTGCAAACAAGTGAATAATAGCAGTAAAGGAAAAAAAGTGATTCAACCCAATCATGCTATAACTAATTATGATTATGATGACATACCTGGAGAATAGATCTTAGTGCTGCATTGAATGTGACGCGAATCTGATGGTCTTGAAATATCAACCACCCCAGATACATTCATCTTCACTGCAGATAAATTTTCCATTGATGCCATCTTTGATGGTTGAACCACTGACATAATTGGATATCCAAGAATTCCACAAGCAACACACACCAAGGTTCCAGAGTCAACTTGAAAGTCACACAAAATATCATTACTATCCAGACATAAGGCATTAGGAGTTTTCCTATGTGAGGTTAGCTGGAGATTATCCTCATTCACACTCTTGTATGGCTGGACAGACATATCAACCCCTTTTATGGGGGCAGCATCCATAATAGTTCCAGCTTGAGAGTATCGGGCAAGTGATGGAAGTGAATCAGGGTGCCATAACACAGCACGAAATGCCGATTCTTTTCCTAGTAGAGTATTTAATAGATGATTTTCCTTGAGAACATCTTCAATAAAAGCTTTTTTAACCAATAGCTCTCTTTCTTCCTTCAAATGATTTCTCAAACGAGAGCTCCGTGCACCAGGAAGCAGAGTTCTTGGGACCCTGCTAGATTTCAAGTATAATAAACAAACATAAGACAAGCATGAATACAAAATTACACACACACCCCATCATCATCATCATTCAACATATATAAATGTGAGAACACCATACCTGTCAATTCCTGGCCGACCCGCTAACCCGACTTGACATGAATCTAAACACGAGTTACAAAGAGAGAACCTGAATTGACCCAATTTGACCCATGTGTCATAAATTGTAATGACCCAAATGACTCTACCCAATGACCCGAAAACTTACCCGAACCCGACCCGTTGACCCAATTACCAGGTCTTACTTTACTTATATAAGAATAGATCTAAACCATTAGATTGGTTTAGATCTAAAGATTGAGATCACTTATCATTAAAAGCATAATGGTAATTAATCAAATAACTCCTACATACTAAATCAGATCATATCTTCTTCCCCAATTTTCTCTCTCCAAAATTCCCCCATTTTCTGTCTCTTGAAATTCCTCAAAGATTTCTTCAAATTTCATCAATAGTTTTTATCCTTCGTCAACAATTTTCAAACCTATCCTAATTTTACCCACATTTATTCACAATATGTAGTAAAATGGCTACAAGTATACTAATTTCTCCAAATTTTTGAATTGTTAAAAGAAAAACCCTAGATTTCGTGAATTGTCACATGAAACTCAACGGAGAAAAATTGCAGCGAAATCTCAACAAATATCGTGAAAGAAAAAGGTAAGTATAGATTTGTGATTTTGAGCTTTTACCATGTGAATTTCAAGTATTAACTATTATATATTTGTTGTTTGAATTTTGGTGTAGAAAGAATTGTCTAAGTCATCAGAAATTCATAATTACACATTGATCTTTTTCAATTGCTCATCCTACTCATCTACAAGCAACAAGGTAATTACAAACTTATTAGAATTTCATAATTTCAAGTAATTTGCGAATTTTGAGGTTCAAAATAATATTAGTCTAAACTAAATACTTCCTCTGTTCTTTTTTATTTGACCAGTTTCTTTTATCACACTTGCCAATGTAAAACATTAACGGTCAATAACTTTTAATTCTCCATAAGTAAAAATTATAAAATTTATATATTATGATAGTACTTATTGAGACAAATTCAAAAAGATTCCACATGAATATGTTTTTCCTTACATATTAACAAAAGACGGTCAAAGGAGAGATGATGAATAGTATAAAAGTCAAAGCGGGTCAAGTAAAAAAGAACGGAGGAAGTAATATGATAGTCCAAATTTTTAATGAAATTTTCTTACTTTTTATAATGTAAAAGTTGAATCTAATTGGTAGAAGTCATTGTTCAATTTTTTAGAACATAATCTATATATATATATATATATATATATATATATATATATATATATATATATATTAGGGGAAGGCTCTTGTGAGAACTCCTCCTTTATGTGAGAACCATTTCTTATGTGAGAACACTATGTATATTCTAAATTTTTACTCGTATATTCTAAATTTTAAATCTAATGTTCTGAATATTTACTCAAGTATTCAAATTAAGTCAAATTAAGTCAGATGCTCTAAATTAGTACTCACGTGTTCTAAACCATAAATAAGTTAAGTTAGATGTTATAAATTTTAAATAACTTGTTCCAAAATTTTAACTTATATGTTCTAAATTTTAAAACATATGTTCTAGGATTTTAAATTATATGTTCTAGAATTTAAAGCATATGTTCTAATTTTTACTCATATATTCTAATTTTTTACTCACATTTTATATATTTTATACTTGGTGTTCTAAATTTATATTCACATGCTCTAAATATTAAATTAAACGTTTTAAAATCTACTCATATGTTCTAAATTTAGTCAAGCGAATTGTCTAAATTTTTACTCACATGTTCTAATTTTTAAATCAAATGTTCTAAATTATTACTCACACATATGTTCTAAATTATTACTCATATGTTCTAAATTTTAATTTTAGTCACATGTTCTAAATTTTAACTCATATGTTCCAAATTTGTACAAACATGTTCTAAATTTTAGATCAATTCTTATATAAGTTTGTGTTCTCACATATGGACCTATTCTCACGGGATCCCTCCCCTATATATATATATATATATATATATATATATATATATATATATATATATATATATATATATACATATTAAATTGAAAGGAGGTTTTGGTGATAAATTTTACTTTTCCAAAATACCCCTTTCATCTTTTATTTTCTTTTATAAAAAAAAAAGAAAAAAAAGAAAAAAAAAACTACCATTTTTTTTAATTATAACTACCATCTTTTAAAAATCACAAAAAATCCTTTATTCAAAAATTTAAAGATACATATTCTTTTTTAAAAAAATTAAAAAAAAAAAAAAAAAAAAAAAAAAAACTTCCATTTTTTATTTTTATTTTTTGCAGGAAGTCATATCCTACTATTAACCTCTACAATTTCATCAATTTTCAAACCCAAATAAGGTAGATAATATTTTAGGCAAAAAAAGGAGACTCAAGCCATCTAGATTTTTATATTTCAGACGCAATGTGCGTGTGTCTCTTAGCTTGTATATATAAAATGAGAAGGATGAATGTGCATATATTTTCTACTAAATGTGCAAATTTGATTTACGACTTTACTATTTTTTAGTAAAATTTATGCTCATTATGCACAAAAAAAATACACATTGAATTTCAGTCATATTTTTGCACATATGATTTAAAATTGGAAATTTAACAAGAATTATCCAACATTTGCTGTGTTCTCTCAATATAATCAAACCTTTCGATAACCCTGAATAAGCCTAAGTTTACTACCCATTTTTTCCCAACAACCCTAGCAGGTCACCCTACCTATTATAACCCGTTACCATCCACATGTCACATCCTAATTGGTCATATTATTTATTTTTTATTAAATCTTTTAATTCTAATAATAATTATAAAAAAATAAAAAAATTCCTTGCTTCTCCTTCCTCTTGCTCTTCCTGCTCCTATCTCTCCTCCCCTTTCATGGCCACCATTAACCCCATCCACCACCACACTTCAGCCACCCAACATCAATCGCACAGCAGCCCGACCTTCTATTGCCACCAGCAACCCCATAGAACAACTGGCAGCAACCACCAAACCGCCCGCACCACCATACCACCAACTTGACGCACCTCCCTGCGCAACAGCTGCCCGTCCACAGCGGCAGCTACACTCCCCCTAGCTTGCCACCTGTACCATCCTCATCTCACTGCCGCAACAACCCACAGCAGCACCCACACGCATCTATTCTGCCACCTTTCAATCTAGCTGGCCAATCAACAATTCAAGCAATGCCACGCTCCAAGGCAACCAATTCAGTGCATAAGCAGTCCGCAAAAAGCTTAAATTCAGCCCCAAATCGATTAAAAATAGTGAGTGTGGCTCACGTTGTGGTAGCGCGCTGATTGGAAGGGGAAGACATTGGGAGGGGGGGGGGGCTGGTTGACAAGGAGGGGAGGGGGTAGTGGGGCTGGCTGGTTGACAGGGAAATCGGGTAGGTTGACGGGGAGGTGAGGTGGTGGTGGGAAAGTTCAGGGAGGTGAAGGAAGGAGGGGAGAGAGAGAGGAAGGCCATTGTTAATGGTTGGAGCTTTACATCAATGATGTTGAGGAAGAGGAAAAAAATTAAATAGGCTCGCTATGAGAAAATAAATAGTAAACTTAGGATTATTTTGGGAGAACGGGGAAAAGATTGAATTTTCTTGTTGAATTAAACTTTAAAATTTAGAATAAATGATTTAAAATTTAGAACAATTGGTTTAACAGAGTTAGAACATATGAGTAAAAAAAATTGGAACATCTGATTTAAGATTTATAAAATATGAGTAATAATTAAGAACATCTTATTTTAGATTAAAAAAATATGAGTAATAATTTAGAACATCTGATTTTATTTTTAAAACATGTGAGTTTAAACATAGAACACCTTAAAAGGCATTTGTAAACATTATAATAGAGCTTCCATCTCATTGAAGTGTCTATCAGTACTTATTACTCCCAATTCATAATGTTCCAAACATTTACTTTTTGCACAAGAATTAAGGAAAAAAACTGTAAAAAGGTGGGTGATGTAATTAAAGACAGATAGTGTATTAGAGAGAGTGTAATAAGTTGGTAAAGTATAAGAAGGTGGATAAAGTAAAAGGGTGAGTGGAAAGGTAAGTATTGTGGAGTAAGCAGGTATGGTAATAAAAAAGGATTTGCCAAAAACAGAATAGAGTGAAGTGCTAAAAATCCTTTCTAGTCAGAGCCACTATGTAATTATAGGGATAAAATTAAAAATGCCTCCTTTTTTCTTAACATATATGGTGATATAAATATACCCTCTTTAGTCTTAAAGAGAATATAGCATTTGATAGAAATGAATAGAGGATGAGGACCTCTGTTGACGACCACCAAAGATAAAGATATTTGGTTCAAGCAGGCAATCCCATCTGATAGGGATTAAAGCTTTGACATTGTTGTTGTTGGCTTCTTAAAGGCATATAGCACTTGATAGAAATCAATGGAGGACGAGGACCTTCGTTGACGACCACCAAAGATAAAGATATTTGGTTCAAGCACACAATCCCATCTGATAGGGATTAAAGCTTTGACATTGTTGTTGTTGGCTTCTTAAAAGCATTGGGTGGTGTGGTATATTTTATTTTCAGCTTGACCTTCCAGTGCAATAAAAATCATTGTATCTAGACTTATTTGTCTGAGATGTGACAATAACTCAAAACAAATTAATATAGTCCATCTAGACCACTACACTCAGTCTTTTTTAAGTGCCCCAGTTTGCCCAGCATATTTGCCAACACAGAATTCTGACCAATAATTTCTTAAATTATCAAAAATTAAAGTTTATAAAAAGTCCATCTTTAGAAACTATACACTGAGACGACTTTAACATTAGATATAAAGCATTGGCTCCAGGACATCCGTGAGAAACAAAAACATTTATCTCATTGTGACAACTCACCATATTTCTCTCTCCTCTAGCTACTCCACCACCAAACCAAAATATTTCGTTCTCTCTCCTCCTCTCCCATGGCCATGCCAATCAACCCACCTAGAAGCGGCGGTAAGCCGGCCGGCGGAACAAAAGATACCATAGTAGCAAAATATATAAATTAGGCCATAGTGAACCCTTAGGAAAAGGCTTTTGCTAGCCGCCGTAACTTTTGTGGCCAGAAAACTTAAAAGTGGTGGTGGTGATTTCCATAGCTAGTGGTCGTGCAGTGGGGAAGAAATTTGGTATGATGGTGCTAGCGATCGTCTACAGTGTTGATGGTGGTGGAGTAGCTAGAGGAGAGGAAGAAGGTGGGTCTCTTATTATAACAAAATGTGGAAAAATCCAAAACTGTCCCTACTATTCATAAATAAATAGTCAAAAATACCCCAGAGATAAACATTTCTGCTTTTCACGGATATAAACTTGGATTTAAATTGTTCAAAATGGAATATGGGGCACTTAAAACAAAAATTTAAAAAAAACACAGTGGGAGTACATAACAATGTCTCAATTGTATATGCAGGGGAAACAAAAATTATTAAAAACATTGCTGACCTTAATACAAAAGACATAGTCAATAAGTAAAGCAGTTGTTGATGGGAGAGCATTGGCAAATGATCCATTACAGCCCGCCGCACTGCCGCTTCCTTCGCTATGGTGAGCCATTGAGGTGTGCCAAAGTTGGCAGCTTCTCCACAATTAAAACCTACACACATTACAACGAGCAGATTCAGTGGAATCACAGAGGGGTTCTTTATGAGAGGCCAATACTCTGCCCAAGGGTATAGGATATATGAAGATCAAGTATAAGATAACTAAATTACAAAGTAACCATTAAAAGACAAAACAGAGGCCAGACTTTGTGTTTACTTATATTCTCCTAATGTATTTGTACATTATCGCATCACTTAGTTGACAAGTGCAGTTGTGCTCCCTTAATCCCCTCCAACCCACCCCACTCCTTTAATTGTATACTTACTTTTCATTCACCTTATACATTGTTGCATCATTATATTGGCTTGTGTTGTTCCCCCTCCCACCCCCACCCACATGATAAGAAAGTCAGCAACTCAACACATTATCAAACACATCCAGCTGATGCATCAAGAGATAAAGGTATTAGAGACATGTTACAAACACAGATCTTTTGTTTCTCCAATGTAAACCCACATAGCTTACTATAATACAATATTCTTACAATAACTAATTTTCCTTACATACAAGTATTGTTAATAATAACTCGCGAAAAACAATGAATATTACAAGGCAATAATCTACAGCATTTACGGAGGTAATTTGGTGGCATGCTGGAAATGTAGAGCACAGTCATACACAAGCTAAAACCTCACCACATTGAATTATAATGTAATATTCTGTGAATTAAACATTAATAATTATAGCCACAAAACTTGCAATGATCTATAAACAATTTTGTAAAGTAATTACCATGACTGAATCCTAAATGATAAGCCCTTGGAAACGTCACTACAAATTCACCAGGGTTTTGTACCAACCTACAAAAGATGCATACAATTTAATACTAAAAAATAAAAAAGAAGGAAAAGAAAAGATGGGCAGCAATTTGTAACATATATAGCATAAAATAAAATAAAATAAACTATACAAAAAACAAAGTAGGCAAAACCGCTAGAACTCGATCTTGCCATCAGAACTTCAAATTATAAAATAAACATACCTGCAACATGGAATACCAGAAGCAACCACCATCTCAGGTGACAAAAGAGTGGTCTTCTCTCCAAGAATTTTTAATGCAGCTGCACAAGAGACGACTACCTGAGTTACAATAGTATAGAGTTTAACCAATAAGAGAATCCATACAAGAAGATAGAAAAATAGATATCAGTTGGTAATGTAGAAGCAATAACCAACTCGATGTCATTCATTTGTGTGTTGTCCAATAGAGATTACATCTCAAATATAAAGCCTGCCATCTCAATCAAAACAAATAATATTTTTTTTTAAGTCAACAAGAGGAAAAATGACAACACAGCTCCAAATTCTTTGAGAATACAGTGTGTCTTTTCTTTGTCATGACTGATGGAGCAACATTGTTCAAATCAATCAAATTAATGAGAATTTTCATGTACTACCTCTGTTTCAGGTTAAATGCAACATGTTGACTTCTCCACTATTCACATATTTTTCTTTAACCATAATATATTAATCACATATGATAACAAATGTTAGCATATAAGTTGTTCATAGATTTATCTAAATGTATGTTTTCAAGAATTTCAACAAATCAACTTTTCATAATTTTAATTGATAGATAATTAGATATATGGGCTCAAAGTTAAGCATTGGCAAGTGTGCAAGTCTTAGGAGGGAGTCGCATTTTGATGTTATGGACCTGTAGAATTTAAATAAATTTACTTACACTCGGAAAACTATAACATGCTAGGAGTTATATTCAAGGCCCTAAGATGAGCATTGGTTTCATTGCTATTTGGTATTCAGCATGGAATTGAGCCATGGGTATTAGGATGCATAATAAAATGTTTTAAAAACCTCTAAATCATGCACAGTCGCTACAGCCAAACTCATCTGCCCATAATGCTGCTCCATTCTCACCAATATCACAGCCACAAAAAAAATTGCCCTGGCAGGCTGGCATGCAAGAAGCCAATTTGTGACACTAATGATAGGGCTTCACTGCCTTGATTTACAAACTTATAATCCTAGGTGCACCACTATCTATGCCAAAATGAATTACCAATGCAGAGCCACCACAAAGTAGTGCTTCACAAAAATGTGACATCAAGTACGAACCAACAAAATACCATAAAGGTGTGCAACCATAACTTCACATATCATATATCAAGACCCACCATGCATTCCCCAGCACCCTATCATATAGAGATATCTGAATCATGACCCTCCATGTACAATTTTAAGGGCCATAATTAATCACGTTTAGGTTAAATATGTTATTAAGACTAATATAAATACATAATGGACAATAATCCCATTAACTTTCTTTGTGATATTAGTATAGAATTCTCAATCCTAGTCTGTCAATGGCTTTCCTTTGTAGATTCAGGGTTAGCGGCATTTTTTTTCTTCATAAATCAACATTTTGGGATGGGACTATTTAAAACAATGCTTGTACAGCAAATTTTGCTTGATGTTATATAATTAAAAAATCTCAAAACCACAAAAATAAGCAACTTTTATTTTAAGAGTTATTTTACACAAAATTTGTAAAACAAATTCATCAATTCATAACATTCCATAATAATTGATGGAGGAAAAAAAAATTCAGCTTACAAGAAACAAAAACAAACATAATCTGAATTAGTATTGAATAATTGGACAGAATGTATGATTTAGAAGATTAAAAAACTAAAATACCTAATTGTTTTCCTCGCTTCTTTACCTTATCCTCACTTCTTCTCTATTAGCCTCTCCTCTATGCTGCCCTCTATATATCCTTTATGTAACTTATTTAATGTCTGCTCTATCCCCCTCTTTCAATTCTTTCTCCTCCAACAAACTCTTGATTGATCCTATAGTGTCCTCTTTCACTGTTTTTCTCCTTTAGCAAACTCATTTTCTCCTTTAGCAAACTCTTGCTTAATCCTTTCTCCCTTCCGGTCACGTTGGATTCATAACAAAGATTCGACTGCACAAACTCAGATTACTTATACACTCACTCTCATAACTATACCTCAACATGGTTCCCCACTTTAGTTTAGTCCACATAGCACTCTACGCTGCCACCACCACAACAGACCTATTACCCATAAATAGAAGAAACACTTGGTACTTACCACTCCTTTTTAATAAGGGTAATCCACCTTAGTGTCTTTCAAATGCATCTCATTATAACTCACCAGAGACAGAGGGATAAGAGGGTGTCTTAAGTATAGCAATGATTAGACACACTTTCTGATCCATTATGAGCTTATATAATCACCGGTGATGTTTTCAACCATTATTCTCAACAGATAGATCAAAAGGAAAAGGAAAAAAAAAAAAACTACCATCAACCCGGAAAGACCCTTCAATAATAGAGAAAGGATTGCCTATTTCAAACAAAGAATTTGCTTCAAGCTCTTCATAACATCATAAACTTCGAGAATGTTTATAATATAATGATCACTACGACACTGCTCCAAGGAAATCTCAACTAGTTATGATAGTCATACAACAGAAAAATCTAGCTACTCCTAAAACAAGTGAAAGTTAATAGAAGAGAGGTACATCACTCTCTAATTCCATACTGTCTTTGTAAGCATGAGACATTCATTTTCTCACATATCTCATTTTAGGTGGTTGATAATACTGACCAGTATCTATCACCAGCAATTCAAAATTAATCACTCCCATAATTTATTAAAGCCAACTGCCTACACAAGCTATGTCATCCAGAACCAAATAGTGTTAGCCAACAGGCCAACACTCAGTTACTACATACACCAATCTGCCTGATAATCTGATCATGGGATCACTATACTAGGATAGATTAATGACTTCATGGGATACCATCACTGACTCCTGAATGATTAGCACTAAAAGCAAGTCAAAATACTACATAATATAATAATGACGTACCCAAGTGGTCCATATCTCCTCCATAAGCCTGTTTACGTATAACATCTTCAAAAGCAAATGCATGCTCCCCAGGAATCGCATACCATGTCTTTGGTGAACCCGTATGCAGAAAATTCAAGCTATGAAGTTCATGATCTTCAACATGCCAGGCAAACCAGCTGAACAACATACCAATGTACACCATTGGTGATGTAACACCAGGAATATCATCCAGCATAAAACGAGTAAGTGATCCAGCAGAGCGAGCAATTACTTGTAGGTTCCAAGGACAGTTTGATAACTTCCATCCCGCAGTACCTTCAAGTTCAGCATCAGCACGAAGGTCTCTCTGCTTAGTAAATTGAGGAATATCATCTGGTGATGATGCTTCTAAATCAATACGTTCCTTTTCTAACGCTTCAAGTGGACTTGAACTCGGCACTAGATCTTCACCTTCTACCCCAGCACACAGACTTGCTTCCTTGTTTACACTCTGTTGCCTCAAGTAGGATCTACCTCCAGGACTTGGACCACACATTCTCTTCCTCTTATTACAAGCACGGAAGTAACCCGAAAATCCCTCTGGCTCACCAAAACCAGAACCTGGAACATCATTTGCATATTCAATATATATAGGCTTCTCTGAAGCGGCTTTCCAAAACAATGCCTCAATAGTTAAAGGAGTAACTTCCTTCACTGAACCTAACACACTCCTACTAAACGCTTTCGACTTAGATTCAAACTGTTCCAGTGTGTATAACTCCCCACTTTGCCATACTTGCTTTTGTGCCGCCAGTTGTGACACATCAACCCCACCCTTGCTTCTCTTTGCCTCTTTCCCCAGTTCTTGTTGCCTAGTAGTGAATACAGCTCTATTCTTAACCTCATGCCTCTTGTCTTGATTTACCCTCTTTGACAAATCACCGGTTTCTTTCAAATTCACATCCAAACCCAATTCACGAGTTCTCAAAAGGGTTTTGTTTAGTTTGTCAAAAACATATCTTTTTGATGGTTTTGGCAATGGAGGAATCACTTTACATATGCCAAAAGGACCAACTTCTTTCTCAATTTTCGATATATAAGCAATTGGGTCAGCGAATTCGGTATCGGTCGGTCGGAATTCCGGTGCTAACGGCAATTCCTTCAGCCATTTGGGTAATACAACATTACCCATTAAAACCCAAAATTCAACACTACACGATCAAAATTGAATAACAATGTCGTCTACAGTTTCAAATCTCCGCAATTCTACGATTAATCATCAAGAATTCTCGCATAAACCCCAGATTCCAATTTAATTTTCAATTTTACTCACCAAATGATTAAATGAGATTTTACAGAATCCCAAGAGCATAGTATAATTGGGATGAAATTGAAGAAAAACTGACAAAAAATTATTAATTTTTATTAAAATAAAGACGAAAATTGACAGTAGAAATGTATGAAATTAACGTAACCTGGAACTGAAGTAAACCGTTTCAGAGGATTTTCAAAGAAGCAGCGATTCTTTAGAGAGACAAGAACTGAAGAAGGGAGCGACTGAGGTCAATTTTAATGTTTATATAACGCTTTAACGCGGTGCAAGATGGCTGCGTCTCTCACATTTATTGGTATATGGTTCGGATTATTGGGTCAGTTTTGATCAGGTCAAGTAATTTCAAGTCAAAATATGTCTTGCAGAGTATTAAGTCAAGTCTTTAAACTAGTCGGTTCATTTATATTACATATTTCTCGTGTTCAAATCAGGTAGATCATAAACAAAAGTCGTTGTTGGGTTTGGTCATGTTCAATCTAGGTTGTAAATGCTTCTTATTGAGTTCCATCACTTCAGGTCAGTTTGGGTTGAAATTTGCCTGCTTCTTTTAAAGTTCCTTTTCTTATGAATTGCTTGTCTCTAGATTAATGAGATAGTAAAGGGATAAAAGCAACTTGGACTAATGGAACAACTACTGTAGGATATTTTGTAATGTTGGTACTAAACAGGTCCATGCATGGAATAAATTACGCAGTCTTTTTCTGCAAAATTGTTGGTATGATAAGGTTATTATAAAGGTCCAACAACAGTTTGATAAGAGATGTGATCAAAAATAATTATAAAAAAAATTATTAAAAAACAAGTGGGAAAAGTTATAAATGGAGTATATAACTTGGAAGAATATTATAGATTAGGAGACAGCATTAAGATGGATCATGAGAGAATCACATCGTTGCACTCGGTGAATGGTGGACAGTCTAGGAAAAAGTAAGCCAAACAATAATCTTATATGTTCTTTACCTTTTTCAAGTAGTTAGTTCTAACTAATTATGTAACTAATTTATGCAAGCAGATATGACTTTTCAAAATTTTGTGAATCTAAGTTCCGTAATTAGATATAGTTAAAGATCATGTTATCTAAAATAATTGTTTCGGTTACAACTCTGTGGAGCCCGAATTCCCAATAGCATATTGAAATAAAAGACCAATCTACAATAGGAAATTATAACGTAAAAGATGAAGAGCAAGTGGACAACAATTACAACACTATAGTACATAGATGGTAGTACAGCTCAAATAGAATCGGCGATTTAAACATAATCAGCGATTCAAACAAAATTCAATGCAATATAAGCAAAAAGAAAAAAAAAATACAAAAAGGAATAGATGGTAGTAAGCATAACTAAGCTCATTCATTTTATTTTAATTTCTTTTTTTGGTGAAAACGTGGGGCAAATCCCAAAAAAGGAAGAACAAACGAACTAAAGAACAAAAACAAACAACCAATAGAAAATAAACAAACTACTAACTACTAGACCTAAGCACCATTTAGCAATCATGGTGCATTGTTCAAAACCATTCTAGGCCCAGAAACACACCTAAGGTCCTCCAATAAAACGGCTTGAAGACCTTTCGGGATCGCCTCAAAAATGACTAATTTTTTATTGGATGTCACCCCATAATTAGCTAACCAGTCAGCAACTTGGTTAGCCTCTCTGTGGCTATGACTAATCGTAATCTCTCAATCACGTCGTGTAATCAAGAGCTTGCATTTGCGAATCAAGTGAATAAAAGGAGAGGTGGTCGGTATAGGGTCCACCGGTAGTCGGAGGACAGTCTCTGAATCAATAGTAACCTGAACTTTGCGATGACCACCGTTCCAAGCTATGGCAAGACCTCGCAAAGCAGCTAGTAATTCGGCTTTTGTGCAAGAACATACTCCACAATTCATAGCAAAAAGTTCATGGATTTCTCCTCTATGACCATGATACTCCACCTGCTCCAGCTGGACCCGGATTCCCTTTCGAAGCACCATCGATATTAAGGCGCACCCATCCTTTTCGAAGGAAATCTCACCTAATCAAGGCTAAAATGTATTGTTGGTGCATTGTACTCCCTCCGTATTTTAATAAGTGTTACACTTTGATTTTTTTTTTCACTATCAAATTTTCTATAATTTTACTAACATATAATTAGATAAATAATGGTCAACGTTGTGTCTCGAACTTATTAAAACACGGAGGGAGTAATATTCTTTTCAATCTAGTTTCATGGTAACTTCCAAAGAGATGGCCTTTCGAAATTATAGCAATAAAGAGTATTACATTTTGCTAGATAAACATCAGTTGTTGAAAAAGGAATTGATATTATGTTTTTATTTATATGTCTATTGAGGTAAATATTATTCTTTATGAACAAGTCAAATACCTTATCTTGTTCTAGAGTATTAAAGGTTTGCCCCTATTGTGTACTGGTTTCAAAGTGATAACCTCACTAACATAACACGGAAAAAAATAGTAAAGAAGTTATCCTTGAAAATGTTTAGAAAAGTTGGATCGCTAAAAAAATGAATAGACAATCATATGACGAAAGATGCATACGATTTCCGTTAAATAAAAGATAAAATCAGGGCTATAATGGTACAAGGAGAAGGAAAAATTACCTCCATTTCCATACAATTTGAACAAACAAACGATCTTTAATACATGCTAAGTAAACTAAACTATCACTTGGCTACTAAGTTAAGGGAAAATTAAGTAAGCGATAAAGCAAACTAAGCTTAAAGGAAAATTAAATGCGTTTGTTGGTTGATTCTATGATGTCCTCTCTCTCTGAAATCTATCTATCTATATACTATACTATACTATAAGACAAGTGTTTCGGGGTTTTCTGATGTCCTGCGGGAGAGTTACAATTCCGAGACTGGAACCGGACGCCTGTACCTGCAAAATAACGGAGACTCCTGGGAGCTCCGCCTCCAACGGTCAAGTTAGTACTTGATTAAGGAGTAATTAATGCGGAAATTAAAGTGATTGGGTCTCTCTAGGTGAGAGTGTTTAATGTAGGTAATCTGCTTTGTTAGCGAGATCAGCCGGTTATTACTGTGTGTAATTAATGTGTTTTTTCGTAATGTGTTCGTAATCCCCCTTAATGAGGATTAAGGGAGGTATTTATAACCTTGGGAAACGTGCCCATCCTAGGTTTAGGTTAACCTAGGGCCGATTGGGCTTCCCTCGGAAGTTGGGCCTGGGTGGCCGGTTTCTCCATTAGGCATGGAGTATGCCACATGTCATGACATAACAGGTCCAAGGTGGACGAATAAGCGCGTGCCACGTGGCAAGCCCTGACAGTTCCAACTGGGGGGCACTTGGCAGGACCTGATTGGTCCACGTGGCGCATTCCGATTGGAGGAGCAAAATCCCCTAATCATTTGCCCCTCACTGGTGGCACGTGATTGGTCACGTGTTACCTGTGACAGGTGTCGCACTGTAACAGGCGGCGACCTTCTACAGGTGTCAGTCGGCGAAAGGACGAGAGATTTTCCCGCCCAAATTTTGAATTCTAAAAGTGACCCTTCGCCTTCTCACTTTGCCTATATAAGGGAGGATTGTCTTGAGTCATTTTCACACTTTGAGAACATTCGGACCCCTGAACTTGCTCTGACATTTCGGACCTTTTCTGCCTACCGCCTGTTCTGACAAGCCGACTGCACAGGATTTTCAGAACTTCATCAACCGTCACTCGTTCAGGTAACTCAGTTCTCTTACTCTTAATTTTCTTTTTATTTTTTGAAATGGCACCACGGAATCACACGACACGACCTAGGTTAGTGATCAGCCGGTCACCGGGGACGGCTGAATCTAGGACTAGGAGTGCCGCCTGCCCTTTTCCGGACCCATCTTTGCCCTTTATACAAAGTCCGACTGTATCTGTGTCTATGCAGAGCAGGATGGCCAGAACGAAAAAGACTGCTAGGATCTCAAATTCAGACGGCTCCTCCCACAGGGTGCCGCTTAGTGAAACATCTGACCAGGCGCCAGATGTGGAAGTGAAACAGGGCGGCCTGAATGCCGGCAATTCTGTGGGGGGAGTCATAGTGACCCCTTCCCATTTAACAGTTAACAATTCTGCTTCTTTTCAAAGAGAGGAGGCGGGCCCCTCCGGGAGAGGGGAGGAGTCGTCCTCTTCGGACTCGTCAGAGGACGATTCCGAGTCAAGCTCTTCTGGCCATGCTTCTTTGGGTACAGAAGAGAAAAACAGCCGCCTGCAAGAGGCGAGACTTTCTCACGCAGTTGAGAAGGGGGACAATTGGGCGGAGCCATCCGCCTCTCACCGAGAGCTAAACACCCCCTATTACTGCACAGTACCTCGGGGCCGGATCACAGCCATGCAAGAAAAAGTGGAGAGCTTTATTGCAAACCACACCATGGGCCCCGACTTTCTAGTGTTTGTGCCGGATCCAGAAGACACAGTCGTCTGGCCGGCTGGTTCCAGTTATGATAGCGCCTGCTTTGGCTGCTACGAGGCGGCCATCAAGGCAGGGCTACGCTTCCCATTACATCCGGCTGTTCAGCGGATTTTGGATGGGTATGAGTTGGGGTTATGGCAGTTAGCCCCAAACTCCTGGGTAAACGTACTCGGCTATGTGGCCGGGTGCGAACTGCACGGGGTGGAGCCAAGCTTCGAGGCTTTCGCCCATATGAACTATCTCAGCCGGACCCCTAAGACAGGCGGTAACGGCTGGTATCAATTAACAAGCCACAGGGGCTACCTCATGACGAGAGGTAAAGCAAACAAGTGGAAGGACTGGCGGAGCACCTTCCTCATCATTGAGAGTTCAGACATTGAGCTGAACAAGCGCTTCAATAGGTGGAACAGGAATCCGCCCCTTCTTGCAGGCGGCCGTAGCATGCCGCCTGTTCCCCTTAAGGCTAAGAAAGAGATCCTTGATAAAGGACTCTTTAAAGTAGAGTCGAGGGTCGACTCTACTTCAGGGGTACGAGAGCAAGTACCCCAGCACTGCGTCCCGAGCTTCAAGTGGCTCTATGACGAGTACTTTTTGGCCGCCTGTGGCCTCAGCAGTCGGTGCTCAAGAGGTAGTCGGCCTGTCGAATACTCTGTTGTTCCATACATTTGTTGTTATCTTTTATTAACTTTGCTGTTTGTTTTTGCAGCTGACGCCATGAGCAAAATCACCGCCTCCAAGACTGCGGCGGCCATGTTGCGGGCCTCTATCATGCAACAAGCTTCAACCGACTCCCCCAAGAAGGGGGCACCCTTGGTGAGCTCCGAACCTTTCACC